TTTTATCATATCTAGATTAGTTTGTTTATATTCAAGACCTAATTGAGCAATAGCATCTTGAATTTTTTGTATTTGAATTATTTCAAGACGTGTTTGATGAATAATTGATTTAATATCATTACGAATGTGTTTCATTTGTATAAATGTATCAATAGATATTTGTTTAAATGAATCAATTGTTTCAAGTATTAATTTTATTTGATTCATTGAATGATTCCAATCATATTGAAGTTCATTACGAATAGATTTTGTCCATGTTTTAGGATCAGATACAAATGCACCATTTTGCATATAAAATGGATAAATTTTACCATGTAAATTTAATACTTTTAAATCAAATGATGATTCATATTTTTTAACATTAGTTAATATAACAATAACATTTTCTAAAATAATATTAGGTATATTACTATTTAAACAATTAATAGCATAACGAAAATTTGTTGTTAATCGACTCATTGAACCATTAACAACAAATATAATTGAAGTTAAATTATCTAATTGTGTTATTGTATCAATTATTTTATTCATATTTATTTGATTTTGTTCAATACTACGAGTATCAGAAAAACCAGGTGTATCAAGAAATAAATATTGTTTATTTGTTGATATATCAGTAAATATATATTGTGTACAATAATTAGTTTTTGATTGAGTATTATCATTAATATTAAATTCATTATGAGAAAATTCTTCAGTTGATATTGAATGATATTTACATGGTATAGCTATTTTAAGATTATTTAAATTACCTTTATGAAAATAATTACATAAATAATTAATAAATGTTGATTTTCCAGCACCTGTTTCACTAATAAGAAGTATTTTTGCTATCTTATCAAAATTTGAACGATATTGACATGATGAAACTAATCGATCAGCCATTTTTAAATTTATTATACCGAAATCTAAAAAAAAAAAAAAGAATTTTAAACGAGAATTTATTATTTACTATAACTGTTCTATATCAATATAAAAATTTCACTATCAAGTTTATATAATACTGATAATATTTTACAGGGTGTTTTTTTCAATTTTTTCCCATTACCCTAAACGCTAGTAAGAATTCGAAGGATAATTTGTGTGGAGAATTTTCGAAGATGAAAATGTCCGATAGTTTTCTAAGAATAGAATCTCTCAAAAAACTGAAACTCAAGTGTTTCATCCCTTGAAAATTCTATTTAAATTATCTGGAATGATAGAGCAAACAATTCTCTACAGAATGAAATACCTTCCAGTTCTCTACAATGTTTTTTTCGTCAAGATATATCAATTGTACGAAATATACGAAAGTCGTTTTTTTTTCTACTACGCAGTTCGTATAGAAAAACAATTTTTTGCACCTTTCGTATGACTGATACATCTAGGTCAAAGACGTCGTAGAGAGTTGGAAGACGTTCCGTTTTGTGGAGAATTGTATGTTCTTTCATTCTGAATAATTCAAATAAAATTTCAGTGAATAAAAAACTTGAATTTCAGTTCTTCAGAAAATTCTATCCTTGGAAAACTATCAATCATTTTTATCTGTGAAAATTCTTGTTGAGAATAAAATTCCCTACAAAAATCACCATTTGGATTCTTATTAGTATTTATGGGAGTCGAAAAAAATGAAAATATAAACCTAACTAAATAATTGAGAGCTACTGTATTTCTATCTGTGAGAAACATCCCATCTCATTCGACAACATTAATAATATTTATTAATTTTCACGCATGAGAAATTTCATCTTTGATCGACACCCAAACGTATGTCATAGTCTTTTGATTTCTAACCTTTTATGTCAAATTTAGTAAATAATACCCGGGTGACCAATAAAGAATGATCGCACTTTGCATTTCATATTTTCATCTGTAAATAAGTATCACCAAAAAAACAACAAAATATGCCACAAGATGCAGCATGAAAAGTTTCACAATTTATAGAAGATAACTCTTCCTACAGTGACACTTTTGTTTTGCTTTCAAAATCAGCAAAATTCTCTACAATTAAATTTCGACCATCCGAAAATTGGTCGTAGGGAATTTTGCTTTTTTTTCTTTGAAAACAATTACAATAAACTTTACTGTGTAAATTGTAGAGCTTTTCTCACTGTATCTATTGGTATATTTTGTTTTTTGACGATACTTAGAGGTGAAAACATTTATATGCAAAGTGCTACCATTCATTATTGGTCACCCGGTAGCATAACATCTAATTAATCAAATTTTATTCAATACAAAAAAAAAATAATAATAATAATAATAATTACTTACTTCCCTTCTAAAGAAGATTTTTTTCTTGTCGTCCTTGCATAATAATATATTTTCTTTCTTTAAAAATTAAGCATGTGTAATGATGCGCAGTATGTAAGCATGTTTATGTATACACACACTTCACTTTCATCGAGACGATACACACAAAAAAGAAAAGAGAAAATGCTTGATCGATTACTATTGATTTATTTTGTACCTATGTCAAAAATAAAATATTTTTTTTTTTCTACATATATATATTGTTTAAACAAAACCTATGATGGAATTTTCCAACCTAGAATTACAGCATATGGTCTTTTACGTCGATAAAATATACGTACATGACACTTCTTAAATATACACTTATTTTAGTTAAAATATTTGTTTTGTCTAAATAATGTATAATATAAAATAATTTGCATTTAGCAATTTTTGTTCAACTGCTAGAAGTAAAAGTATTTCAATGGATTAGATTTCAATGAATAAATAGAATATTTAATTTATGTTTGATAAGATATTTTAAGCAATCGTAATTAGAAGAAAATAATATTTTTTTTTTGTGTGCGTTCTGTACAACGTGATTTATTTTAAGGTTCGAGAATAAAAAGAAGATTTTTGTGAGTATCATAAAAAATCGAATTATTGAATCTTTTCAATACGAAATATTTTCTGTTTACATTCATTTTTTTTTTAAATAGTGGAATAATTAATATCAAAAACAAAAAACAAAAGATAATTTAGAAGAAATATTTCAATAATTTTATTTCAATCAAACGATGAGCAAGTAAATAATTGAAATATTTACTCTTGTCATATAAATACATTTTATCATGTAGAAAAATTCTGCAAGAGTTAATTCATTCCAATGTCTTTGTAGTATATCAATCGCTGTAAAATCTGCTTGCTGACATGTATAATCTTGTATTGAATTGTAATAACGTGTATTGAGTACTGCGAGGAAATGACTTTTTTCCGGTCTAATCACCATTCGAATTCTTCACACATTGATAAAACATGACTGTATATATTTTAACAATATACATTCGTTGCCAAAATCGATTGAAATTCTATTAAAATAGCATATTATAAGGTTAGAAAGTTTGATAGTGGAATCATTGAAATCTTTCTTTTTTTATCGTTGCTATGTATTTGTATACAATATTTTTGTACCACCTATTGAGTAAGAATGCACTTTAATATAATGAATTAATATCTTATTTATAATACCTTGAAAATCGTCAGACAATGTACGTCAACACAATACAAATTGCTACGCAACTTGAAAAATTCTTATCAATACACAGAAAGTGGAAAAAAAAGAAATCCATTAGCTATAAAGCTATGTGTATTTAACCGACAATCATTATACTATTTGAAAATTTCGGGTAGTGAAGCTTATATGTATGTAACGAACAGAACGAAAATTGTTCTATTCAGAACTCATTTAGATCATTTTACCGATTCGATTACTGCCAAGCACAAGTAATATTTACTTCTTTGTTCTTTTTTTTTTTTGTTTCGTTCTTTCAATTTATATGTGAATTCTTGATTGTATAATTTGAATAATAGTTATATTGTGAATGCATATGCCATTACTTCATTCAATGAAACATAGGTCAAGAAATTCAGTGAACCTTTTATTAAGAGTTCTAGTAGGTATCATATTGATCTATTTCTTTTAAAAAAAATTTTTTCATAAATAAATTATCTAAAACTTTATTAATACAATAATCTTTTATGCAATGGTTCCTTAGTCGAACTGCTTTTTCATATGTTTGACATGCATATCACATGACTTTCTTTTCATAGACAAGTACTTAAATACTTTCATGAGTTATATACACATTCAAAACAATCATCTGAAATAAAATAATAGAAGCTGTTCTCCCCTCAAGATGGAAGATTGCTCCTTGTCATTGATGATATCTGAATGTACTTAAAATTAGTTTCACACATCACAGATATCATTTTCCTAGTAGTGAAAGATCCAATGGAGTATTACTATCGTTGACTTGCGATGGAGAGGGCGAACTTTTGTTGTTAATTTGTGTATCTCATTTGCGATTATTAAATGCGTGAGATTGCCAAAATGTCTCAAGATGTGTCCATATGACATGACTTTCTTGCTTAAGAATTTCGTGAACATGAAAAATAAAGTTCGACTAGGATAATATTTCAAAAATTTTTCAGAGAAATATTTCTAAATTTCTAGAACATCTTTTGATAGATGTCACTTTTATACAATATATTTATTTTATTTATTTAATACAATTATAGAATTTATTTTTATTAATAATATAAAAATAAGATAATTAAATAAATGAAAAGATTTTTTACAATAATTAAATATAATATTTGCATAGTAAACAATTTTGAGGTCGTTACCTTGAAAACGTTACTTTAAAAATATTGACCGATGGATGTGTAATTGGTACAATTATACCTTTTTCTCAATAATACACAATAAAAGTTTGTATAGAAGAAGAAATGCTTCTCAATTTTTGTACAAAAACAAAACATGCCGTTGATATTCATAGTATAGTCTTTTTTTTATGTATTACCCACTTTCTACAGGTATACATTATTCTAAAAAAAGGTATAAATACCCAAATATGTTTTTAAATGTCTATAAATATAATAATCAATTGATGAAAGTAACACTTTCAAATATCTTTGTTATACTAATCGACATTTGAGTATTACTAATCCGTCAAAGAACATAAAAAGAAATTTAACCTTTTCTTTTTGTAGATAATTTTTAATAAAAAATGCCTCCAAAACGAAAAATACGTAATTTACCTAGAGTAAATGATAAAGAAAAAGTCAATCAAGTAAATAGAAATTTTTGCTATTGTTTTAATCACAAAAAAAAAGTTTCGTTTTTATTTTTTAAGATGTCATTTTTTGAACCAGTTTATCAAAATGATAATATTCAAATGAATGATGATGATGATGATGATAATGAAAGTGATAGTGAATTATCAGTCAATGATATATCACAAAAAAAACTTCAACAAGATAAAAATAAACATGAATCAAATGAAACATTTGATCAAGATCAATCATCAGAAGTAAGAATAAAAGAATCAATAAAAAACTTTATTTTGATGCCTTATTGTTTTTTTCTTTTCTTAAATTAGATTTCAACATCAAAAATTGTTACTCGTATAAAACAAATTCAAAATTCAATTGAACAAGCAAAAACAATGCTTCAATCAATGGAAAAATTTAAACATATAGTTGTAAATATTTTCTTTTTTTTTTAAAGTTGTTCTTATGATTGATTTTAGCCGGGAAGTCAAGAACAATGTGAAAAACTTTATATTATTATTGAAAATCTTGAAGAACAAGAATCTGGTTATGTTAATTTACTTAATTTAATTACAGTAAGTTTTTTCTTTTTTTTCTATTTAACAAAATGTTTGTTGTTAATGTAAATCTTTTCTAGTTTCTTTGTTATCGATAATCATCTTTAGATTTCTTATTATACAAAAAAATCTAAAAACTTCAGAATAGACTCTACGATATGAATTGCATCTATAATGAAATTTTCAGGAAGATCGAATTTCAGAAAAAAATCAGTTTCCTAGAGATTTTGAAAAAATGATTTGTACTATTTAGAATTGATTTTTTGAACTTCTCATTCGGTTATAAGAGCATTTTTTCGAAAAATTTAGACATGTTCCGAAAATATTTTATAGCCCTTAGGAGTTCTCTACAGAATATATTATTTATTTTGAAAAGTGTTGCTTCAATGCAGAGTTTTTTTTTTTTAAAACTAAAATGCATGAAGTGAAGGTCAATATCTTTCTTTTTTCTGTCACGTCACTAATGAATGATTATGCTCCTTGTATTTTAATAAACTGTGAAAAAGAAAAGCAAGATTATCGATTGTATTTTTCATATTTGAAATGAAATATATTTCATAGTTCTTAATGAAAATCTTACATAAAGTATTTCTTATTCTTTTTAGTTGTCTGTAAAAAAACTTATTGTATTTAAAGACTATGAAAATGAATAAAACATAATAGAAGATCGATTAGAAACTTTGTACACTTGGACATAATAAAAGATTCGAACGTTTTCTACTATAAGGAAATGATTAAAGCAAGAATCCATATAGAAAATTTTTACGTACTATATATATTATAGTAAAATTATGAAAATATTTTGCAATAGTTATTTTGAACTTTTACTCGGCAAAAACAAAATAATCAAGCAGAAATCTTATAGTTCGTATATTTGTTTATCTTTCACGATATGTTGCATTTATATGTATTCCATGATTCAAAGTGCTTCAAACGAATAAATAGCTTATTAACAAAATGATTATATGAGTAAGATTTGATATATATGAAATGATGAATGTTTTATCATAATCTTGATCTATGAAAAATATCGCCTCTAATTCAAAAAAAAAAAATTTTTATTTCTATAAACAATTTCTCAGAGATTCGAAGCAGTTAGATCATTTGAAAAATGATAAATAATAATCTCTGCCAATTATTTCACTTTTTTGTATTTCAATCAAAAAAAAAAAAATCTCTTTCTATTTAGTTAACCAACAAAGAAAAAGCAGAATTAATCGAAAAAATTTCTACAACTCATCGTCCTGTACCAACAAATACTAATAATCAATCAAATGATGAAAATGATGATATTGATGATGAAGTTGATGATAATGATGAAGATGAAGATGAGGATGTATGTCTTAAAATCTTTTTTTTTTTATTTTTTATTTTCTCATTTAATTAATTAGGATGATCTATCATGTCGTCGTAATATTCGATCTCCACTACGTCCACGTATTGAAAGTAAAATAGGTTTTACACCACAATCAATTATTCCACCAACTCCAACAGTTCCACCAACAATAAATTCATCAGATAATGAACAAAATAATCGTAATGATAATTCAAATTATGATTCACTTGTTGGTAGTCTTAAAAGTGATACAATTAATTGGAAAGATCCACAATTAACAGTACAAAAAAAAAAAATAAAGAATTTTCTTTTTAATTTAATTTTTCTTTTAGTCTGGTGATGAAGCAAGTGATGTTGAAAGTGAAAAAGAAATTCAAAGAAATTTAATGCTACAAAAAGAACAAGTAAATCTTTTATTTATTAAAGAATTAGACAAAATGTTCTAATCATGTCTTCGTTTTCTTTTTTTTTATTAAGCTTCGAGCTTTACAAGGTCAAAAACGTGCATTACTTGCATTAAAAAAACGTTCAGAACGACGTTTAATCGAACAACAACAATTAGTTAATAAGAAAACTACTGATAGAAAAGAAAATTTATCAGAAAATGATCTTTTATCAGATATAAATAATCTACGTGATCGGTATAAATAAAAAATAATAATCTTAATAAATAAATTTATGTTTTTAACAATTTAGATTAAAATTACTTCGAAATCTTTACGAACAAAGACATCAAGTTGAAGTACAAGAAATTAAAAAGTAGGTTTTATTTTATTCATTGTTAATTTTGGAAACAATACACTACTGACCAAAAGTATCCCCCCCCCCCCCCCCCCCGACTGAGATATCGAGGGGAGAATACTTTTGAACAGTGAGTGCAAATATATATATAATATTTAATTTTTAGTTCACCAAAAAAACAACCAACATCAAGTGAAAATCGTGTTAAAAATTTAGAACATGTTCGTGAACAATTGAATGAATTAGAACAAATTGTAACATATTATCAACTAGATTTAATGAATGAACACGATGAAGAAACAACAGTTTATGAAGAAACTTCTATTCAACCTGAAGATGCACAACGTTTAAAAAAACTTCTTATACAAGAAAGACAAAAACCAATATCAAATACATCAAATAAAAATGAGAATACTCCTAAACAACTTGATAAATTATCTAGTGAATTAACTGCTAAACGATTGTAAGTTATTGAATGAAAATATTCTTTTATTTTCTTTTGAAAATTTCAGAAATTTTTAATGATTATTAACTCCATCTATACACAACATTTCTAAATAAAATTCTTGCTGTCACTAAAAAAAACAAAAATTTAGTAAAACAGACATAACTCTTCATGAGTAGCTCATCGACTTGAATCCTTATATGCTTTGCTTAGCCTCGTAAAGATCTACTCTTTAGGCATGATATCAGGTCCAACAGCGTGTAATTATAAACATGAGTTTCATCAGATGCAACGATAATAAAATAAATTGAAGGAGAATGAAAATTCAGGGAGGTTGTTATTCAATAAATCATGAATAAGGAAAAGTAGTTTATAATTGATGAGATAGAGAACGAGAAAATCTAAAGACTTGAATTGATTGAATAAAACAGTCAAAAAGAAGGTTAATAGCGACGAAAAGTATGTAGTAACAAAAACCCATTGGTAATTCGATACATAAACGACAGGCTATCCGTTGACCACTCTTCTACTGCCGGCATACCGAAGATACTCAAGGAGATTCTTGAAGAAGAGATTGCAGGGATCAATCCTCCTCTAAAAAATATTTAAATACCTGAAGTAAACAGTTTTCACAAGCCGTAAAAACAACCGTCAATCTTTCCTGTTTAATAATCTCTGTGAATGTCCCTGACTAATCTAAGATATAACAGAATATAGACAAAATGAGAATTTCTTCTTATCAATACTATCGATCAACACAAATGGTTTACATATTTTAGAGAATTAGAAGAAGCTAAATCTGCATTAAATCGTCTTCAACAAATGGTTAAAAAAATTGAACCTGATCAATCTTCATCATCTACATGTTCAACTCCAAAACAATCATCTCCTATAAAACCAATTAATAATAATAATAATAATAATAATAATAATTATGAATTCAATACTAATCAGTTTCAATATACTCCAAAATCATCTCAACAAATACAAACAATAAATACAAATGTTAAAACTTCACTTTTATCAAGTATTCTTTCACCTAAATCAATCGAACAACAAAAACCAACTACAACACGAAATAGTTATGCTGATGCTAAAATGGCTGCACAACATCGTGAAATTGAACGTTTAATTGAATCTCGTCAACGTTTACATACAATTAAAGATCAAATAGCAACATTACATCAAAGTATGACAACACCACCAATACAATCAAAAAAAGATTCAACAAATGAAATTCAACATAATAATAAATTTAAAACAAATATAAATGAATCAAATAAACAAACAAATACATATGAAGATAAATTAAGTAATTCAAAAAATCTTCGATCACCTTATACATCTAATAATCAAGAAGAAGAAGATAATAATAATAACGATGATGATGATTCAGAATTATATCAATTTGAATGTGAATCAGGCGATGGCGAAGAAATTAATGATGATGATGATGATGATACAGGTAAAAATTTTCTTATCGAAATAAATTAATTTGTTTTTATAAAAGAAATAAAATTTTTAGATGAAGAAATTCAATCTCGAATAAAACAAGGAGTAAGTTAGATTTTTAATTCTTTGCAGAGTAGAATAACTCTACTATTAACCCTTTACCCCCCATAGAGGTTCCAGAAGAGCTATTGATGAAACAACCATTGGAATAGAGTATTGGTGCCTCCAATATGCTAAAATTACGGTCAGATCGATCAAACGCACACTTGAGTTTTAGGGTAGTTTGTTGAGGGGGAGTAGGGGGATCGATTTGGAAAAAATTTCGTGAACTTTCCATAATACCGACGGAGTTCGGCCAAAAAACGTCGTAGAGAGCTCGTGGACGTCTTATTTTGTAGAGAATTGTTCACTCTATAATTTTACGTCGTTTAAACAAAACTTTATTTTCGGATTGTAGACGGCCAAAAGCTAAGGGTTGATTTTCTGGAAGTCGTTCAGTGACCATTCGATGCTTTACCACATCTTGCCTACCCAATGCTTTTCAAATTTTTGAAACTTATATAATCTACTAGTGGACACTTTCTTTGATGTAAATCACGCAACACGTCGCCAAGATATATATTGCCTAGAGGTAGAAAAAGAATTTTACCAAGAAAATTCCATTTTTTACTTTTTTTGAAAATCATCGATTTTATAAGTTGTATATCTCGGCACTAGCACAGCGAAAAAAATCTTTTTTTTTACTAGTCGATAGCTCATGAAGTTTACTACAAATAGTGCTCTTAGAGGTTTTGAATTCTGTGCTTCCTTTATTTTCTGCAATCGTTCTACAAATGGTCATTCCAGTGACCAAGGGGGGGTAAAGGGTTAATATTTATAAAAAATTTTTTTTTATATTTTAAGAATTTTCATGCACCTGAAGATATTGTTGCTGAACATGAACAAAATATATTAAATAAAAAAATTGATTCAACTGATGAATTAAGTATACAAATGCGTGAAATATGTCGTTGTTTATCAACATTTATTCAAGAACAAAAATCATTTAATCAACATATTGAAGAACATCTTAAAGTTGTTACAAATAATTCATCAAATTCATTATCATTATCAAATATAAATGATCCAATATTTAATCAACTTCAACAACAAGTTCTTACACAAGGTCTTATTGTTAATTTAAATACAGCTTATCGTGAAATAGCTATATTACAATCAGAAATAAATACATTACAATCAGAAAATAATCGTTTATCATCATCATCATCAACACATGATAATCAATTTAATTATAAATCACATTTATATTCAAGAGATAATTCAAAAGATTCAATTTATAGTTTAGATCAAATTAAACCTACACGTTCAAGATTTGATGAACATATTCAACAAGATAATCGTATATTAACAACAAATAATAAATTTGAAAATTCAAGTAAAACATCATTTAATAGTCAAAGTACTGGACAACAAACAGCTATTCATTTAACAGAAAATAATATGGAAAGAACACCTGTTAAACATGAAAGAAATGGTATTTATAAAACCAAAAAAAAAAAACAAAGATTTTTTAATAAATTTTTTTCTTAGAAGTTTATGATGTGTTGCAAAAAAAAACAAAAAAAAAAAGTTAAAATTCTTAGTAAACTTGAGATCATTAGAATGATTTATAAACCAGTCGGACAGGTTTGTCAGATGTTTGTTTCCTGTGAAGATAAATCTTATCAAAAGATAATAAGTTCGATTGACTTTCTAATTTCTAATAATTATCTTAAGTGTGCCTGTAATGAATATCATATGGACATTTATTCTAGAAGATTCTTTTGGTAAACGAAACAAATTAATAGTTCAACGAGTACAATAGAATCTATATAACAAGAAAAATCTAGAATAATCTTTTCCGTTGTTAGAAGATATATATGAAAAATGTCCTTAGATTAATGGAGAAAAGAAGACGAATTGATATACTGACAAAATTGACAGAAGAACAGATAGACAAGAGAATGTCAAATAGCTCTAAATGTATAACAATTCAAGGATAATTCTTAATTGTTTATTATGTAATAGGTTATTTCTATATAAGAAGTTTTATAGATAAATATCAACATAATTATCGCTATCTTTTACAATTAAAACCAAGATAACCATGAGTGTCCATAGAAAAGTTTTATTTAAATTTAACATGAAAATTTTTCAATGCAAATACTCACTCTATGTTACATTTCTTATCAGACGAAATATCTGTAGTATTCAAAGGTACATGAAGATGAGTAATACTTGTACCGATATCTCTTGATATCTACCTTCATGCATTAGCTATGTTGAAGAAAAGTATATGTCTACTATTACTACTCTTTGTGATATTGAACTAATATTTTGGATGCATGCGTTATCTTGTAATCATCTTATCTCGTTCAACCCCAAAGCTAAATGTTGTATCTAGCTCCGGTTTAAATTTTACTAGAAATCATTTTAAAGGGACTGGGATATTGTATTTTTTTTTCTCATTAGGAACATCTGTTTAAGAGTAAATGCTAATTTTTTTTCTAAGATCGATCTTTTCCATTCATTTAATAAATTTTACCAAGAAATTTTTGATGCGACGATAAGTTTGTGCGGAAAGTTTCACAGTTGTAGTACTGACAAAAATCGAGTTCGTAATAATACGACATATGTTGATTGTCTCAAGAAACTAATTACATCTTGAAAAAGTACCATGGGATTTAACGTTACAAAATTATACATATGAGACTGTTCAGAGTCCTAAAAAAACAGTAATACCTTGTAGATTCTAATGTTGAGGATATTTGAATTCTAGATTTTTCAAGGATATATATTTAATTATAATCGCACACGACAATTTGTTTACTTAGTGCAGTATTATTCTTTTCTATAATATATTTTATATCCATCGTATCTGTGCAATCTTCTCTTCTTGAGTATATTTATATAGTAAAAAAAATATGTTTTTTTTATTTTTCTTTTAATAGTATTTTCTGGTAGACGTATATCACCATCAAAACCAATTCATTTACGTTCAAAACCATTATCAAATGAATATGAAACTTCATCAAATCATCATCATCATCATCGTAATTCAACAAAAGAAAATGTTTCAAAATCATTTATTATTCATCGACGACCAATATCAAATGATAATGAAAATAATTTTCTTAAATCTCAATTATTTAATTATGATCAAAAATTACAACAAAATACATTTGATGATGATGATTATAGTGAAAATGAACAACAAAAAAATAATCTTTCAACAAATATATTTAATATTCAACCATCAACTTATTATACAACAGCAACAACACTTCATGTATTTAAAATAAGAGATTTCTTTTTTTTTTTTTTTTCGAAAAAATATTATTTAATTATTTTTAGAATTTTGATAATATTGATATGCAAAAACTTCATGATCAAATTAAAATAGTAATGGGTCAATTAATTCCGTATGTTATTAAGAAATATATTTAAAAAGAAAAATAAAGAGAGTTTTTTTTTTCCTCCATCACAATTAGATTTATGAGATTACATGTCAATGATATATGTAATCAATCAATTCTTAATCATATTCGTGATAATATTATATTTTCATTTAAACAACAACCTGATACTGCTCAATTAATACGTAATTTTCAAAATCAATTTTCTGAATCACTTGAAAAAACAATTGAAAAATATTGTGGAACAATGTAAGTTAAATAAAGTTAAAAAGAATTTTTTTTATTTGTTTGTTATTTAAAAGTATTCGTGAATGTGCTAATGATCTTATGCGTGATATATCTGATATTACTTTTGATGAATTAATTAAATATAAAATCTATCAAAATACAAATAATGTTCAAACAACAAATATTAATGAACAAATAACACAACCATTAATTAAACAACAAGATGATTATACAAATTTGGTATAACAAAAAAAAAAAACTAAATAAACATTTTTAGGTATTAATAGAAGTTCTTTATTTTTTTAGTATGAATCATCAGTTCGACATTATACACAACAAACATCAGCAGTTGATGATGGAGAAAATGATAATAAATATCAAATTGAATTAGCCGAATCAGAAGATCGACCATTAACACTGTATGTATGATGAAATATCATAAGTCATAAAGTACTTATAAGAACCCTGGACATTGTCAAGGCTACAAGAAAAAAGATAGAGTTCGAAATGAATTATCATACAGACATCCATGGTTACCTTAGTTTAAATTGTAAAAGATAACGATAGTTACCTTGATATTTACCTATGAAACGTCTTGTATCATTGAAAGTCAAAGTAACTTTAGATGTCCCTAGGAAATTCATTTCGAATTTTATCAGCTTTTTGCAGCTTTGGCGATTCTTTGCAATACTTACAGATAAATAATTCTTCTAATTATTTATTCACAATTTATAGCATCATAATACAAAGATTCTAA